TCATTTCCATTGAGAAATCTCAGACTTTCATAACTTCCTCTGTGATCTACAAGCCTTACTCCTTTACCTTCTAACACTGATGTCCTCTAAGAAAATGTTAGTCTTTCTATGGTAATGAAATGGACATATCCCCAATTCCTCTAAGAAAATGTTACATTCACCCAATGGGGTGAACATATCCCCAAGTTCCCTTACAATGTGCTCTGGTCTTGGTTCTAAAATATCCCTCCCACTGGAAACTCACTTATCAGCTTGTTATAAGAATTGTTCATTGCAAGAAGATTATCAAGCTTACCCAGCTCCTGTGGTAGAAGACAATGTCCATCTTTCCCTTTCCCCCCTTGTTAGATCTTGTCGTAAAAGATGATGAATAGAAGCCTTACAATGGGAGAGGAAGATGGAAGGGAAGAGGAGAGAAAGGGAAAGATGGAGACAGTGAGAGGACACAGAGGACTTGGAAGGAGAGGGGGTTCTTGTCATTGCTGCTCTCCTCTTCATCTCAAGGTTGAGGATGATGAACAGTCCATAGGAAGGGTAGTTTATGAATTAAAAAAATACCAGTTACATGTGAATGGAGTGTGATGGAAAACTAACGGTAACGGGGGTTTTAGACAATTGTCAAAGATAATAGGGGTACTTTGAGACTATGTAAATAGTAAGGGTGAGTTAGTCAATTAGCTAAACCATAAGGGTAGTTTAATAAAATTGCCCTCATTTAAAACTTTTTGTAAAGTATAACATATTTTATGCATTGGCGGGATGATTGATTTGTATATGTTTGGTTATGTGGGCGTTTATAGATGGGCCATTCATTGCTTTAAACATTTATTTGTACAACTTTACTTTAAACATATATTGCTTTTATTGTTTGGATGAGCATTACTTTAAACGTTTATTGTTTTGTTGAGCACTATTTTAAATGTTTTTTGTTTTTTCACCTCAGATTAACACCCATAAAAGTATACCACATAAGCATTTCGTTTCAAGAAATACTGGAGCATTGGGGGAAAACACGAATTTGATGTTTCCCCAAATGCCTCATGCACAAAAATCAAAGCGCTTTCATTTCAGTTTTTCAGTGTTTATTTGATAAGCAGTGAAACCAAATAGTGGTTTCATATGCAATAAACACCAATGCCTATGTGGTGTTGATGTGGCGGCATTTTTTCAATAAGTGCCCATGAAACCAACCATCGCCTTTGTTGTTTTTAACCTCAATTCTCTAGGTTTAAGTCTTATATATTGTCTTAAAGTACCCCTAAGGTTTAAGAAATTGACTAACTCTACCCTTACTGTTTACATAATGTCTTAAAGTACCCTTGGTAATTGCCATTGTCGCTAAATATTGACAAAAAAGTCAAATTTACCCTCCATTATATCTTAAATTTTCAAAATAAAACCCAACTAATAATTTTTTTTTCATTACTCTAGATTGTTGGTGTTGTCGTATATATTCAAAAATGCCTCCATGCATCTCTTGTTTCTGACAATCGTCAAGAATGCTTCCATTAGAGAAAACCCATAAAGCTTTGCTGATCAAGAATGCCTAGAATCTGATCTGACCCAAATTTAAGAGTTGCTCAAAAACACTTCAATCTGATTTGGAACTTGGAAGATGAATGTTTGTTCTAAATTCGTTTTGGGAAGGGAGAACGTGTGGTTTTATATGAGGATTTGATTATTTTGTTTTATTTTGTCTTTATTGACTGGCTCAGTCATTTATAGTTCTCTGAATCAAAATGACGATTGTTTTAGACGTCCCAAGATTCTCTCAAGATTTAAAGTTGTTGGATCAAAAGCAATTTTTACATCTTGTATTATTCTTGCTTGGTCTGAGGGGCATCAAATTTGTTATTGAAGCTGGGACTAAACACATAATTCAAATCAGAGAGGTTAGCTCCAGTGTGACTGTTGGACAGCTTGGAGGATTTCTTTTGTCTTGGGAAGACATGGCTGCCATAGATAGAAATGGGACAAAACCAAAGGAGATGCATGGAGATTTGTTTGAATTGATGGGGGGTTGATGTTATTGTAGTTGCAGCTATTATTGCGGCTATGCAGAAACAAGAGGACATCATCTCTCGACGGCAACACCGCTTTTTTCAACCTCAATATACGTCTCAATTTGCAGAGTTTGCAGTTTGCATTAGCAATTGCTTTCCTACATTGTTCTTGCTTGGTCTGAACTTCCAATGCATTAAACACAGTGTCATTCTTTGCAAGGCCTCACGATGGATTTCTGTGGCACGCTTGTAATCTCCTATCGACGACAACAGATTTAATGATCTCCTCATCTTGTTTTGCCGAAGCAATGACAAGGGGGACGATATCCACCATCTTGGGCAGAAGAATAATAGGTAGAGACGAAGGAAGTGGGGATTTGTGAGGAGGGATGGGAGGACATTCAGCAATGATGACAGAGGCGTATGGACTATGGTCTTCTTCGATGAGGAAATACAAAGAAGACAATTGTCTGAATAGAGGTAAAAGGGTATTTTAGGAAATTTTGAAAAATACATGTGATGGAATGTGATGAAAAGTTAACGGTAAGGAAAATTATAGCCAATTGTCATAAAACTTAAGGGTACTTCAAAACAATATGTAAGCAGTAAGGGTAGAATTAGTCAATTTCCTAAACTTTATGTGTAATTTAAGAAATAAAAATTTAAACATAGATAACAAGATGGATTAAAGGTAATGAACTGACTTAACCAAATGACATATTGTGAGTTTGAATCTAAAGCCTTGCAATGTTTTAAGTTTTAGAGTATTTATCAACCTAGGCGGGTTACCAGTTGAATTGTTAAAGCTCGATCAAATTTCATCAGTTTATTGGGGTTTGACCAGCTTTACTGGTTCTTCAGAAATTTAAAACCTGGGGTTCTAAAAACCAGAATGGTCTTCTGTTCTAGTTTGGGTTTTAAAGCATCATTGCTTTCCATCACGATAATCAGATTTTTGAGATAGTAAAGTTGTATTTAATAAATTATAAATAAGAATAACTTTGCCAATTTGATAATATATATTTTGAAGGAAAAATCTATGCTGCCAAAAAGACATGACACTAGAAGAACTTTGACCAATCAAAATTTGCTTGTGAATTTTGATAAATATCACCTGATTGCTTACTACTTATATGATACCAGTTTATTGGTCATAGGTTTTCCTGATATTATAGTTGAACTATTGTGAAAGGTAAAGCTAATACTTTTATTTAAGGACATAATTTGGTTGAATAAGTAGTTTTTTTTTCATGGGGCTACCCTCCCCCATCCTTTAATCCTGCCAACCCTAGTGGCTGCGAGATTTGCTCCCATGTCTCTACTACAATGAATTAAAGATCCTACGAACTAAGCCATCATCAATTTGTTTTGGTTGAATAAATTGAAAATGAGATAACAAGGATTTAGGGTTGTTAATGGGTCGGGTTTGGATTGGAACAAGGTGCCCTAGTTCCAAAGTGATTATTAACGAGGACAAAATCAAAGTCTTATAAAACCTTTGTAATTAATGATTGGGATAATCGAGTATGAACCAATAGACTAATTGGAGTGACAACTATAATTATTTACATAGATAAGGGTAAATCTCTTAAACTGCCATTGAGTTTTCTAAAAAGGTCTTAAACCTCCTCTTAAACTTGATCTACCCTTTAAACCTCCCCTAATTTTTAGGGATAAAGGGACTTATAGATTACTTTGGTTACCTTTAAGTGGACAGAGACATCAAATGTTTGTTATGCCCATACTAATTCCTGGAACCAAGTTAGTAGATTTTTCCTAATTCCATATTTACACTTGAACTGTTAATACAAGTAAATATGTTTTAGTATTTCATTTTTTTACCACATAATCAGACCCATTTTTGGGTAAGAGAGGTTTAAGGATTTTATTTTTGGCAAAAATTTTTAAGGATATTTTCTTGTTAAAGGTTTAAGGGTATTTTAATCATCAAAACATTTGATAATTTTTTAAGGTAAAAATTGATATTATCATATGTTTGAATCCATGACATTCTAATGGTGAAGTAATGGAAGGGATCTAATAGGTCCCTTTTATCTCCAAAAGTCATGGGAGGTTTAAGCACATGTCAAAGTTGATGGGAGGTTTAAGGCCTTTTTCAAAAACTGAAGAGGATTAAGGGACTTACCCTATGGAAGACTTGATTTTTGATAATATGGCTTTAATAAAAAATGATAGTTAAATGATAAATTATTTATTTGATAATAAATCTAGTGTCTTTTAACTAAAATTATCTTTTATATTATGAATCAAGTTTACTATCTTAAACCTCAAATATAACAAAAAAAAAAAGCCTAGAAAATGTAGGACCAACCCATTCTAACTCTAAAGACCTTATTTTTTTGGTAAATTTTAAATTCTACTATATTCCTAGGAACTTTAACAGGGCTGCTCATAGTCTAGCTCAGGAAATAAAGACTATTTCCGTGGGCATTTATTGAAAAAACACAACCATATCAGCGCTACATAGCCATTGGTGTTTAATGTGCATAAAACCATTGATTTTGTTTCGTCGTTTATCAAATAAACCATAAAAATCATAAAACCATGGATGTTTGTGTACTAGAGGTTTCGAGAAATATCAAATTCTTGTTTCTCCAACACTAGCATTTGTTAAAATGAAATGTTTATATGGCACACTTTTATGAGGTGTTAATCTGACATGTAAAGAAAGAAATGTTTAAAGCAATCCCAACCAAGCAACAAAAGCAAAAAACTCTAAAGTGAAAAATGTTTAAAGTAAAATTGTACAAGTAAATGTTTAAAGCAACAAATGGTCCATTTATAAATGTCCACAAAACCAAACATATACTATTGTCTTGTATGCAACTCTTTTGTCAACTTTGTCCGGTCGGGTCGCATGCTAACCATTCGTTTGAGGTTCAAGCTCAGGACGAACCGGATAGGACAGACTGGTTCACTGGTCAAAGTGGTCATCATCCCACTCATCCCCGTCTAACCAGTAATCTCACCCCGCTACCCCAATCCAAAGCCACAAAGCCAAAACATTTTGTCTACCGTCCGATCTGATGGCACAACGGTTGTTCAGTTTGTCTAGCTTTCTATAAGCTTCTCCACTTCGTCCAAATTGCGCGGCTAATTTTCGTATTTTCATTATTTCAGTCATCACGAAGGCAATTTATCTCTTCCCGCATTTTTTCCTTATTCGCATACGTTGGAGCTCCACACTCCACAAGACCACAACCCTCCCCGCAGGCTGTTATCTCTCTCTGTAGGCTTTCTTTCTTATTTGAATTCATAATGTCCCGTATCTCCCTGCCTTAGTAGTTTTGATTATTTTCTTGTTCAACTCTTAAGTTTTGTAGATTCGTTTCTTATTTTTAGATTATTTTCTGCCCTAGAAATGTCTTTAAATTCTGTAAATTATCTTTCTTGAAGTTCTGTAATATTGACCAAAGCTTTCTTTGATAAAGAACGTTACTTCCCCACTGGATATGGCCCATAACATGTATAAGAAGCTAACTTGTGTTCATTGTACTCTAAATGGTATTATACTTTACTGTGCGTGAAAATTTGTTCTTGTACATTCAGATGCTAGAGCATAAACTGCTTACACTATTAATCGAAGTATCAATATCATAGTCGAAGCCATAAACAGTAGTTGATGATTTCTTTTATGCATTCCAAGTAGTACAAATTTCCACTCTTTGAGGGCCAAAACAGGGTTTTTTTTTTTTTTTTTTTCTTTTCTGATAGTCTTGTTCTTATATTTAAAATCTGTGTTTATTTATTTATTTTTTTCTGAATGTAAGTTATATCCATCATATATCTGTCTAGGTAAGCTCAAAGCTCACATTTTCCTCCTTATATATTATAGTTTATATATGGTTGAGGTATTGTAAGTGTAGAAGCTGTGAGCATTAACACATGAAATTTCTTTATGTTTAGATATTCACAGAACATGATCACTCGAAATGATGATGAAGGCTGCTGTAAATACTCTGATTGATTCGTTGTCCCCCATTCATTCTAATACCCTCAAAAACTGTCAGATGCCCTCCTTCAGGATGCTAACATGGAATTCAACTCAATCAAGAATGCTTTGTTCTCACAGTCAGAACCATACAATAAGCACAAAAGATGTTACTATATCCAGGCGCTATCTTCCTCCATTGTTCAGGTGAGTATGCGTGAATTTTAAGTGGAGTTCTTTACAATGGAATCACCCCCCCACCCCCCCACCCCGCCCTTTCTTTTTTGTACCATTGACATCCTTTAACTATAACCACTTTATCCTGCAGTGTTGCTCCAATGATGGACTGGACAGATAATCATTACAGGACTCTTGCCCGGCTTATATCAAAGCATGCATGGCTTTACACAGAGATGGTTGTTGCTGAAACTATTGTCTACCAAAAGGAAAACTTGGTAAGATGAAACAGGGGATTTCTTTCTTCTTGATCCTCTACTTTGGACAAATTTATTTCACTTCTCTTTTTGTAATAAAGGCCAAATAAATTTTTTTGATCAGTGCACTAGCTCACTAGCTTCACTGTCTCTTAAATTTTGTAGATGCCATTATCATCTCATTAATTTAAATATTGTCATTTAAACAAAACATTTTGCTTTAGTTGCATTTATAGATAAGTGTTACTGCATTAAAACTACATCTAAAAATTATAGATAACATGTTTTAAGATTTAAATAATGTTAATATTCTTCTTACATATGAATAATGAATATTTTTTTCTTGATATATTGTAAAGTTTACATTTCTCTTTAACAACTGGAATACACTGTCTTTAATGTTTTAGCTATATAAAAGCATGTTGAAAAGGATTTTTGTGCATATAGAGTATTAGTATATTTCTGTTTGGTTATGTTGCCATTTTTTTCTTTGTTTCAGCTATTTTACATCTAAAGATCTTATTTTAGTTTATTTCCTTACTTGGATGCCTTTCCTACCTTTATTAAATTTAAGGTATTCTCTTTAACTTATTTCGGTACTTTATATTTGTGCATCATGTGTTTCATGTTTGGTCCATTTCTATGGATGTGCATGTGCACGTGAATCTGGAATCTATTATCTGCTTGACACCAATCCTTTTTTTTTGTCTCTATCATGAAACATGTCAATATGAAATATTATGCCATTATCTATTATCTGCCAGAAATACTGAACATACCTGTCAATATGAAATCATTATTAAGGATATAATATGCTTATATGCTTTATCCGGAAGTGTATGTCTGAGGTGTAGAAATCTTTGGGTACTTCATCATTGTCATAATATTTTTTTATCATATTTATTTTATGCTTTCATTATAGATTTCTATATTTAGAAATGGTTTATATTTTTTTACCTTTCATACTTATTGGCAAAGTTCTGAGCAACCATGTTCCTCCATAATTTTGGGGTTTACAGGACAGATTCTTGGCATTTCCTCCAGAGCAACATCCCATTGTTCTTCAGATTGGTGGAAGTAATTTGGATCACCTGGCAAAAGCGGCTGAACTTGCAAGTGCCTACCGCTATGATGAGATCAACTTTAAGTTTGTGTCTAGTTATTCTCCCTTCTTTTTTTAGTATGACCTTTGGTTCATACTTTTCCTATCCATAATTGGGATCATTTTGTCGACATACCAGCTGTGGATGCCCTAGTGAGAGAGTAGCTGGAGATGGATGCTTTGGTGTGCGCCTTATGCTTGATCCAAAGGTCTGAAAATCTATGCATGAGTGAACTGCTAAAAAATCAATTATTGGAGTTCTTACTCATTAAGGTGCAAATTTTGTTTGCTAGTGTGTCCTGATATGTACATTTTTGGTGTTCATAAGGGAAGTTTGTTGCAGAAGCTATGTCAGCTATTGCTGCCAATTCTGATGTTCCTGTCAGTGTAAAATGCCGAATAGGTCTTGACGATCATGATTCATACAGTGAGCTCTGTAAGGCACTAAACTTCCTGGTCCTTTTCAGAGGAATATTTATGAAAGACTTTGGTGTTTGCTCTTAAGAAATTCTACATGACACAGTTGGTAGATTTATAATAGTACTGGGAGTAGGGTATTTTCCTTTTTTTTTTTTTTCCAATTGCTCTTCCATAAGATTTTTAATTTTGCTTCTTGCTACTGTTAACTTTTAATAATCATCTCATGCTTTAAGCATAATATATGCTTTTACCTATTTTAAAAGAAGTTTTTCATGGTACTTGGAATTTGGAAAAGGTGTTAGCGGCCTTCTTATTTTTTTCAATAATTTTAGCAGTTGTTTGTTTCTGAATCATATGAAAATTGCATTATTGCATATATGTACCATGGAAATGATGTCAATTTTAATTCTCAGACCGAGTATACATGTATAAAAAGGATTGAGTTGGTAATTAAGTCATTTAGTGAGCTTCTTTAAATGACCAAGTGTAGAATAGATGGGTCGAATGTTAGTGGATAGTTCTTCATCTTTATTTTATGCTAATGGGCCTTCCCTTAACGGGCCTATTAGCCTTTTATCTTGTCATTAGTGTACAGCTGCCCTATCAGGGGTATTCTTGTAAAGATATGTTTGTTTATGAGAAAACAATAAAGAAGGATTGATTGGAACTGGAGAGGTTATGTTAGTAGAAAAAGTGATATGAATAAACCTTTGCTTTTCAAATTAATTTCCTGTTTGTTATCCTTTGTATTGCTTTGCATCTACCTTTTGTAAGGGGATTTACCTAAATACCACCATGGATTGATGACTGAAGCAACATAAACTGAACCCGCAGATTGAACAAAATTTGAGATAAATGACTAACCCATAGAAACGGGACAAAAGAGATAAGACAAAGTAAAGATTTACTGAAAAGTACCTTGCGGACCACGTCCACAAATGACAAAAACATGGAAAAGATAACTGTGATAAAAGTTATGATTGTTAGAGTATATTCCCTAGGCGTGATGCGTAGTAGGGCTTGTGAACAGGGAATGAAATGAATCTGCTCTGTGAATCACAACCTGACAGTGTCACCATCTTAACGACCTCAAGATCCGCACTAATAACAAATGAGTGAGATTTCTGAATCCTCCATAAACACATGTACGAAACCAACTCCCCTTTCTGCCTATAAATAGGGGGCCTCTGACGAAAGAAAGGGGACATTATCATCTTTGGGGAGACATATTGGAGACCAAAATATTCTCCCAGTCCTGATCTCTCTTCCAGAGTTCTTGAAACCCCCTTTTCAAAGCCTTTTTAACGTGCTTTTATCCTTTCACATCCTACTTACGTTTCTAGAGCTAAGACCATTTCCACCACACTGGCCTTACACCTTTATCATATGTTCTTTATCTTGGTATTAGGCAAAGGTTGTCTTTGATATAGTGCTTACAGCTAAGGATTTATGTCATTTGACACCTTGGAGAATTATGTATTCTGTTAAGTGGTGGACTATTTAATTGACTTTCTCTTGTTCCCATGAGGAGGCAGCCTCATGTGCCTTCTATGAGGCTTGTTGTACTCAGTTTTCCACTTTTTCAGAAAAAAAGTGTTTACAGCTTTTATATCTTCCTAATTCAGATGAAAGAAATCTGTACAAATGTCATAGCAATGGTATTTTTATGCACTTCTAGGTTTCAAAGAAGGAAAAAAATGAAGAAAAAGAAAAAGGAATGAAAAGAAGGAATGTAAAACATAGAAAAGAGAGGGATGTACTGATGTGTTTTTTAGGGTATTTATATTGATTGTCAAGCTGAGTCGATTGTAATACAAGTACAAGTTATACAATTTGCCTTTTTCTATAACAATAGAAATTGGGGGGTGGGTGGGGAGGGTGGAGGTTGATTGCATAAATCAGTTGTTCTCAGGTGCCTTTAAAAACCTTTAAAAACACCTTCTGTTTAACATTCCTCCTTCATATATGGTCTAGCATCTTTTTTTTTTTTCTTTTCTTTAAAAATGGATCAGACCTCAATATGCTTTGCACATTCTCTAAAGATACTTTCTTTTTTTGGTGCTATTTGATTTTCATTAAAAAATCAATTTGTTAGTGGTCTTGGAGAAAATGATTGCCATGCTAGAATTAGAGAATTCTATCTTGTAATGTAGTCTGTTTGTACTTGTATGTATACATATGCATGCATAGACATAGTCAGAGAACTTCGAAAGCTTATCATGTAGTAGATAGAGAATATTAACCCTAAAATGCAGAACCAAATTGAATAATCAAAATTTTATTAGATTACAGGAGTTACCTGTATTAGAGAGGCTAGATTCTTGGTGGCTAGCAGGAACATCCTGTTCCACTCAATCAGGAGACCTGTCAATGGTCTAGTTGATTCTTTAGCCAGGAGTGGGGCTGTAAGTAATGATGCCTGGGACATAGATACCATGGGGATAGTATCCCGTGTAATATGCTTATGTCACACTTTTATGTCTAGTTTTTAATCTAATTGCCTTTTTTAAGACTTATGTCTTTCTCAATTTAATTAAATTTCTAATATGTACATATGTTTTGTAGTATAGGGGCCATTACTTGGTGTAATGGTAAATTTTTTGGCATGCATGAGAACATGGATTTGAGATTGAGGGTGGCTGCTTAGTGCGAAAAAATTGCCAAAAGTTAGGACCATTTTCCCCTCCCAAGACCACCCCAGATGGCTGGGACCAACATTGGGTAATGACCCTTTTACATATTTTTATAGTATAATTTGTTAAAGCATACCATTTTATATATTTTAGAAGTATTGATGTTATAGTGCACATCTAGAAGTGTCCTTGCAGCATCTGGTCTTGTCCAGTAAGTGTTGTGTCTGACATTGGACATTGGTACACTAGGCATGTATAAGTATCTCTTTTTTATCAGCAACACAAAATTGATTTATTAATTTTAAAATGAAGGTATACAACAAGAAGTTGTGGACGGAAACAACAAGCCCAAAAAAACTATCCCAAAATTTACAAAACAGCCCAGAGCATGGATTGTCTTTGAATTCCTTGTTTAGCTAAACCATCGGCTATACTGTTTGCAGATCTCTTAATCCACTTTATTTGGATCATCATGTCTTTAGATATCTGTTTGAAGCGCCTGAACTCAGGCATGTATAGGTATCTGAGTAATCTTAAGGCTGTAATCTTTCAGATGGGAGAGCTTCAGGATGTATATGGAGGCTGGTCCATTATTTTTTTTTTCATTGTTTCTTTTCTATTTACCTTCATAATTCATTGCTGTTGATCTTTTAAATAATTCTTGTTGATCTTGTTACCAATTTATATATACTAGTGGAAGGGCATGTGTATAGCATGTGTCTAAGTAAAAATAAAAGGATGAAAAGATGAAAAGACATTTGATTTTAAAATATTTTCTTATTGTACTTTAAGTACCTTAACTCATTGATTGGGTTTAAAGATTAAAATATTTGAACTACCCTTTGTAAGCATTGCTATTTTGTGATACTATTTAAATATTCTATTTAATTTGTATGGACTGGACATGAAACCAAGGCAAGTATTAGCATTATATAGTAAAGATGTTGGGATTATTGCTATTACATTTGATGTGTTTTCTATTAAAAAAATATTATGCTTATGGTTGTCCTAAAATATACTTCTTTGCTTCATATCATTGATTCATAGATCTTGATTTTTCAGGTAATTTTATTGATATAGTTGCTTCCCAATCACCAACTAGACATTTCATCATACATGCACGGAAGGCATTACTCAATGGCATAAGCCCTGCTGAAAATCGAAAAATCCCTCCTCTAAAGTATGTTCTTGATAATTGTATCTGGTTGCAAATAAGTAATGTGGTATAACAGGTATACCATTCAGACAGAAGTCTGAATCTTTTTATTGTGCTATCTTTTGCATGTAGGAGCTGATGTGGCAACTTAATATGACTTCACATATTTTCCCACATCACCCTCTTATTTTGCAATGAGGTTCATCTAATAGCTTTCTCTACACAGCAGAGGAAGCCATCTTTTGACAACTTAATGTGCAGTATGCAGTAGGGCTGACATGGACAAGGACACTAATCTAGATGACTCATCAGATAGATGGTTGGATCTGTCATGTCATCCCCAGTGTGTGTGCGTTTGTGTGTGTGTGTGTCTGTGATGGTTCCAAGAGCCTGAGCTTGTTGTCATAGGCTTCAAAGCCTGTAGTGTCTAGATAAAGAAAGACTAGAAATTATTCAAAATCAACTAATTAATTTTTTAGCATCATGTTTTTCTTTTTTTTTATCAGTAACAAATACGCTTTTATTAGTTTGTAATAAAAGAATAAGGTACAAAAATGAAGTTGTAATACTAGCATCTACTATCTACCCCCTTCTCCAACTTTCATTCTACTATCTACCCCCTTCTCCAACTTTCATTCTTTATTTTATTTTATTGTAATGCACTCATTTCCTGATGGAACAATCCCTCGATACAATACATCTGATTTTCATTAACCCCTTGCCATGCTTATGCATCAGCCATATTGTTGACTGATCTCTGAGTCCATTGGTTGCTTTTTTTTTTTTTTTATCAGAAACAATAACTTTCATTAGAGATAAATTAAACTGAAATACAGAAGTCAACCCTTATTAGAAAAGGTTGATCCAATAAACATCAAACATTACAGCACTGCCCAAAAAAGTCTCTCCCTTACAGTCCCTTGTTTTGCTAGGGTGTCAGCAAAACGATTTGCTGATCTCCTTACCCACTTGAAACAAGCACCCATCTCCTGTGTTATGCTAAGAATTTCCCTTATCAGCTGTCTATATTTCCAAATTCCCAGCTGCCCTGATTGCATCCACCTAATTACCAACTTGGAGTCTCCCTCTATCTCAGTTTGCTGTAGCCCCAATTGTTTGGCCAGTTTTACACCTTGATGTAGTGCCAAGATTTCCGCTCTTAAGGAATCTCCAACTCCTATTGGACCTGAATATAGAGCCATTATCTTGCCTTCATTATCGCTGAAAACACCTCCTATACCAGATGGGCCCGGATTACCTATAGAGCTTCCATCAAAGTTCAATTCCACCCTTTGTTGTGCCGGTGAGGAACAAGCATCCTGTATCATAGCTTTGGAAGTAGTAGTAGATGCCACAATACCCCAACTTCTATAAATGTCTTCAGCTGAGAAATCCTTAAAAAGATCACAGGATTTCAACCGATGGATAACCTTAGTAGTTACTCCTTCCACAACCTCTTCCTTGGATATACAACTACCTTTGAAGATCCTATTGTTTCTTTCCTCCCACACTAATCACAATACAGCAGCTCTAGTGGCTCTCCACATAATCCTTTCATGAACCGTTGGTTGCTTGAAAAAAGCTGGATCAAAGAGGTTCACCACGCTCGAGGAGGGAGTCCAACTTGAATAGCTTTCCAAAGAGAACACTGAAAAGCGCTAGGGTCGAGTCTAGCATCCTAGCTGTTATCTGCAATCCATGAATACTAACAATCACTCTAGACCAAAGTCTGTCCTGTTCCATCAGTAGTCTCCAAATCCATTTTCCCAGCAGAGCCGTGTTTCTTAATCTTATATTTCCTAACCCAAGGCCTCCATCATCCCTACTCCTAGAAACCACCTCCCACTTCACTAAGTGATCCTTCTTAGTATCCCCAAGTTCCCACAAGAAATCCCTCATTATCTTCTCTAACTAGTTAGCTACTTTCATTGATACTCTAAAGGTAGACAGGAAATAAATCAATAGGTTGGCCAAGGTTGACTTGATTAAGGTTATCCTACCCCCTAAAGAGATGTAATTCCTCTTTCAATTTGCTAACCTCTAGGAGAATGTTTTAATTACAGGGTACCAAAAACCTTCAACCATCGGGTTCCCTCCCAGTGGTAGCCCTAAATATTGTAAAGACTAGTCCCCCGCTTCACACCCCAAAATCCTAGCTAGGGAATCCATCTCCTCTCCCCCTAAATTTAGCCTTGCCATACAACTTTTTTCCCAATTCACTTTAAGATTGGACTTCCTTTCAAATTGAAGCACTAGACTCTTTAAGTTCTATAATTCCCCTTCCTCCCCGTCACAAAACAAGATGATGTCATCCGCAAATTGTAAGTGTGTGACTGGTGTGTCTGGAAGCGTGTCGTTAACCACTTCGAAACACCGGTTTAAACATTTATTATTTTATTCTGATTCTCAAACAACTACTAACGCAGTAAAGTGATGAGAACGGGTCGTATCCATAGGGAAGTAGGGGAAAAATAATTACGTACTTAGATACAAGAGAGAGAACACAAAGGGGAGTTGCAAAAATACAAAATTAATTAATTAAAAAAATGGAATTCATTAAAACCAAATTCAAATAGTACTGAGAATAACAAGTGCATAAAAATAAATAAATAACAGAAACAAATAAATAAAAGGAACAACATAAAAAATGTTTGAGAATCCGATCAGAGGTAGTAGTCTTCGGATCTCTCCTTTGACCCTCGAACTTCTCGAGCTAGGCCTTCCATCTTACCTAGCCGAATTTCAGATCTGCAGAAAAGAAATAAAGTACAAATTAAATCTAATAAAAGTAAAATTTGCAGGAAGGAAAAATGAACTGGAAATTAAAGAACAGAAAGTAATTCTAAAACTGAAGAAAAAATGGTTGGAATTCAAATCCAAAGGTGGCAGTAGTGGTGTTAGCGAACTGCAAGTAGGAACCCCTCCTCTTGCCTGGCAAAAATAGGTAGAGATTTTACCCATGCGCCACCTCCACAGCAATGATTTCTATCAGAGCTTCCCCGGTTTGTGTTTTATCTTTCAAGATTCTCACATTTCTCTCTTCCCATATAAACCACAGAATATCAGCTTTCGTACATCTCTACATCATGATTGTAATAATTGGAAATTGTCTTTGATTACCTCTTCTCCGGGATGGCATAAATCAGTATTTCTATTTATGATGTGTTTTGTAGAATTTCTTTTAATATCTGATATGCTGGTTTTTGGCAAATTGGCAATGCTTTACTTGGTGCAGATACGAGTTCTACTTTGCACTTTTGCGTGACTTTCCACACTTACAGTTCACAATAAATGGAGGAATAACTTGCATTGACGGGGTGAGCATTTGATAACTCAATTATAATTTGGTCCTACCTAGAATAGAGGAAATGAGACCATTGCCACACAATTTTCTATTTTCAACCTTATATTTGGGTAGCTGGTAGCTAGATGCCCATTTCAGTGAATCACTTTTATTTGTTCCAGTAAATTGCAACATTATAGCCCTTATTTGCATTTCCATTATTGTTCTTTGTAGTAAGAATAAATTATCATGAATGGTGTCACCTATTTGGTAGGGATTCCATATCCTGAGATTCATATTGGTTTGCTATCATTTAAATAATTAATACAATTGGCCAGCTATTGTGTTGCTCTGCATGGGTTGCAGAAATTATTTGGCATATGGTTTGGCAAGGCAAGGGGTGAACATGGACAACTTGCATTTGGGGGTGATTAGTGAGACCTGATGGATAACACAGGAAAGACTACCTAGGATCAGATGGGGTACCCAGGCACATCCTCCAAGTACAGAAACAGAAATGGTTGACACTATTGGAGAACATTTTAAATTCCTACTCATTTTCTGTTTATTGTCCATGATCCTGCATTCCCACTTTGCAACCCACAATGAAAAATTGCTGATATTTTTATCTAAAAGATATTAGAAATAGCATGCATATTTCTTTATGAAGGTACTTGATTTGTAATGACGGTAATTTCTGGGTAAGTGGAAAAAAATCAAATCAAATGGACGAGAAGTGGATCAAGGAAGAGGAGTGCAACTTGGGCAGGYCTGTATTGAGAATTTGTTAAACTTCAAAGCCCTGATGCAGTGAGAATTCTTCAAAATTCAAATGAAGTATTTGATTTTGACAAAAATGATCCATTTATAGATATTTTGACCCAAGAAATTGTGGCTTCAACCTCCCTAGCAATGCAGCTAATCTCCCTATTCCCTAAGACTGTTTGAGTCCAAACACTTTGATTTCCACTTTGCAGCCATGATATTTTCAACATTGAGTCCCCCTCTACCTTGATCCATCTGAGATCTAATTGCTTTACTAGTCTCTTCCCATACAATAGATCCATAATTTCTGCATTTAGGGAGCCTTCAGTCCCTACTGGCTCCGAATGTAGGGCCATAATTGATCAATTCCTATCCACCTTATTACACCTCCAATTCCAGGATCTGGATTACCTTGGGAGATTCCATCAAAATTTAGCTTCACCATGTTATTATTTGTAGGTCTCCATTCTTCATGAACTTGAATGGACACTGTAGAAGAAGCTGCAGTTGCTCCCCAAGCTCTCAGTATGTCATCCACCGTATATTCCTTGGAGATCTCCATTGCTTTTGCTCAGTGCACAGCTTTCACACTAATGCTTTCTATGATTGTTTCCTTGGATCTGCTAAGCTCTTTAAATATTCTATTGTTTCTCTCCTCCCATTAGGTAAAGACTATGACTGTGATTTTGGATTTCACTTTTGATGATGTTATCGGAAATTGGGAGATGATTGCAGCTTACACCTCCTCCAAGAAAAAAACTTGTAGGAATAATGGACCCCATTCATAGCTGATTTTCTCAAACTGAATTTTGATGGAAGAAGCTTTGGCAATCCAGGCCCTTCTGGGATAGGTGGAGTGTTAAGAAATCATGGGGTTGTTCTCAGGACCATTTGGGGAAGGGGATTCCACAAGAGCAGAACGAAAGGCAGTCATGTTTGGTCTATAGAAAAAAATGTGGAGTTGGTTCAGAAGCTGATAATTGAAGGTGATTCTAAAGTAATTCTAGGCTAGCTGAGAAAAGAGGAAAAGAACTCATGGTGGTTCAGAAATGAGATAAAAAAAAAATTTAAAACTGTCAAAAGACATGCAGTTAATAATTCATTTGGTTCCAAGGTCATCCAACAATCAAGCTAATCAGTTAGAAAAACAAGGGGTTACTAGAGAACGAGCTTTTTGGGCACAATTGTAACCTTGAATAGCAAAGTCACTGGGGTTTTTCTGCTTTCTRTTGTAAGGGGTAGCCAAGGCTACTGAATGATGTAAATATACCTTTATATTATCATTAAATCATTTCTATTTTTACTGATAAAAAAAGTATTACAGCTCTCGTGGCTCTCCACATTACCTCTTTTTTTAGGCTGTCTAAGGAATCCAGGGCTGAATAAACTGGCCAAATTTTGTGGGGTTTCCCACCTGCAACCAAAGAGAGCAAAATCACACTCAAATGCATTTCACAAAAGCACAGAAGATTTTTTTTTGATAAATACAAAAACACAGAAGTTTAGTAAATGGGAAATAGACTCACCACTAGATTTGCATAGGATAGACATGAGGAGAGAGGTACCACCTTGATCTCCTTTTCTGGAGCATATCACAGGTATTGAAGCTAGAGGGAGACCTAAAAGGACATGGGTTGAAGTAGTAGAAATGATTTAAGCACTCAAAATTTAACAATAGACATGAGTAAACAGAATGGAGCGAAACAGGACTCATGTAGCTGACCCTGTATTGTTGGGATAAGACTTAGATGATGATGACTCTTGTGCTTCATATTTACTATGATAAAGGTGTCTTACTAACATGCTATTTTTAGAAATTTTCATGATCTTTGGTGTTGTATAAGGCTTCCTTAAGACAAATTTTTGGCATAAAAGTTCCTTATTGTTTCTGTTTCCAATTTAAAACCACAGGAACTCACCACTTTTACTGTGTTTTACAATTTCATTCCATAGGTTAATGCAGCACGAAGAAAAGGAGCACATGGTGTGATGGTTGGCCGTGCTGCTTACAACAAGTATGCACCATGGACTTTGACTAATAGAAGTTTTATTTGCTCATTTCAAATGATAATTGTTCTTTCATGGCTGGCTTTCTTTGTAATTATGACGTGCTTTTAACTGTTATATGATGACAATAAGATTTTGCAAGTTTTGTCTTTTGGAGCATTCGGATGTTTTCTATAATTAAAAATGTGATCTTATAACTTAATTAGTTTATTTGTTTAAATCCTGTATTGTTTCAATAATGCTGCTACCGTGAAAATTACTTCAAGTTTGCAATATTTGTCCTATATAATTTTTATTTTTATTTTTATTTTTTTATTTTTTGTAGAAAGATAACTTATATTCAAGAAAAGGGTTTACATGAGATGGGATGTACAAGGGGCCTTGAATAAAATCCAAAGAAAAAAAAATAGCAGAGAACAATGCTTCTGGGCAACTTTGTAAAGCTGAAAAGAGATTTTTTTATGATTTTTATGCTTTTTGCTGGTTTCTGTTAAACGTTTGGGGTAGCCGAGGCTACTTATGATCTGTACTGATTTCCTCCTTTTAATAAAAATTTCATGTTGCTGATAAAAAAAGAAAATTACAAGCAAATTTCTTGGTGATCACTATCGAAGAGTTAAGCATGGTCAGAACTCAATCTCTTAGTCTTTCAATCATCGAGGCTTTGTTCTCAAAGATCCTTTTGTTTTGTTCTTCCTATATTCCTCACATAATAGCATGGATTATGGCTTTCCAGTAGCATCTGCCCCTACCTCCCAGATTATAGCTTTGCCATTGGTTAATGAACTTGGAGGTGGAAGGGACTCTCAGGTGGTCTTTTCATGGACAAGATGTAGCTCCCAAATCCCATGGGTCTATAGACATACTTTTCGGGAAATAGAAAGCATAACAAGGGAGTTGAATGTTGTTGTCTTTAAATGGGTGAGAAGATCAGTAAATGGGGTGGTGGATGTTTTGGGCCTTTTGACTAAACAAGGGACGACAGCCAGGCACCAAATGTTTTGGGCAAAATTATATATCATAAAGTTTGTCTTTAGGGTGGAAAAACCCACCTATTTGTAATACTTGAACTTAATATTAATAAAATCTCTTTTGACGGATAAAAAATGAACTTACCAACTGAGTTAGGAGTCTAGCAGTAGTTACCTCCGAAGATTAGATCCAAGAAGTATTGCCAAAGCGTTCTATCAAGCTGACAGTTGATAAGAAGATGGCCAATGGACTCTCCATCTCCAAGGCACAGGATACACACATTGGGAGGTATAAAACTGCCCTTTCCTTTTCTTTTGTAAGATGTTACAAGTGTTCAGTTTTCCCCAAGCTGCCTCCCAAATGAGGAAGGAAACTCTAGGGGAGAGAGCTGAATCTTGTTTGTCTGAAAGGGTGGAAAGGTGCTGGATATGAGTTTTTATAGAAAGACCTGGTGGTAAAGGAGCCATTAGGGGTGAGGGACTAGACTAGTTTATCTGAAGGCTTGAGAAGTTGTTTGGTTATAAAAGATAGTTGGCCTGCATAACTATCTTTTATAACCAAACAACTCCCAATGAATAGTTATGTTGGGGAATATGTTGATTCTAATAATATTTCCATGACATATTTCCATTTCCATGGGTACCGACACGAAATATTATTAGAGTCAATATATTCCCCAATGAAAACTACTGACACTGTGGAGTGAAGAACACAGTATTATAGCATAAGTTGGTGATAAAATTGTAGATATATGGAGTAGAGGTCTCTTTTTTTTATGAATAACAGAATAAATTTAAACCCAACTGAAAAGATATGCCCAAAGAGGATGTTAGCCACAGTTAATCCTCAAGGATCTTACAACAATAATACAAAAACTACACAAACCCCTCTAAGCAATACAACCCAAAATAGAAACTCAACCCAACCCCAAGTCATCCCCTGTACAATTACAAAGGCGAGGGGTGTGCCTTGCGCTTTTGAAAGGGGTGAGCCTAGGACCTGGGCGAGGCGCATACCCCAAAATGCACCTCGCCTGTGCGCCTAGGCGCGCCTTTTAAATCACTGACTCCACCACCTTCTCTAACTCACACTGACTGTCCTCAAACACTCTTCTGTTTCTTTCTCTCAAGATAGACCAGCACACAACAAATGGAATACAACTCCACACAATTCTGGCTTTTTTTGCTTCCATTATAGGACGGCCATTTGGAAAAGATTTCAGATGGAGACTCAGGAAGGAACAGTTGCATGCCAAACAATGCTAAGTAATAGCTTCAGCACATCTCAGCCACATAGCACGAGAACATATGAAGTACTGTTTCCTCACTCACTTTGCAGATACAACATCTGTTTGCCATGTAGAAGCCTCTTGACTTCAAATGGTCAGTGGTGAGAACATTATCCATAGCCACCAACCACTCACACAAATGCCTCCACCCAAGGTAGAGGTGTAAATTGGGTCGTGTTAGGCTGGTATGACATGACCCGCGTGCGGCCTGTGGGCTGAGCTGGGCCGTGCTTCCCTCCCCTGTGATACTTTGAGGGGTTGGCCCAACACGGCCCATGACACGAGCCTGTGCGGGCCCATGCCGTGCTGCGGGCCGGGTTGAACCTTGGGCCAGGCTGGGCCATGGACTAGGCCAAGCCATGTTTTTTAAAAATTTTGAAAAAAAATAATGAAAAATTTAACATAAACTAAAAAATAGACAAAAAATTAAAAAGATCTTAAAATTTTATTTTATATGAATTTTAATGTATACAATTGTTTATATATGCAATAATAAAATTATATATATTAATATTAATATACTATATAATTATTATATATAATATAGTATAATGTAATATATATATACATATTATATATAAAATATATAAATATATATGGGTCGTGTTAGGCCTTGCTGGTATGCGGGCAGCACAGCCCATACGATTGTGTCGTGCCTGACACGGCCTGCAGTTCATCGTGCTGGGCAGGCTCAAAATCGTGCCGGGCCACAGGCGACACAACCCGATTTACACCTCTTACCTTAGGTGGAACAGGATTACCCCACTCACCTCTACATCTCTCTTCGTCAATCTGGTTTTTAATCAAAGCTAGATAGAAGGGTTTCACCGTGAACTTTCCATTTTTGTATTCCTTCCACCACAATTCGTCCCTTGAAGAACTAGAGATCTTTGAATTCTCCAAAACTTCCAGCAGCTTTACACATTCCTCCACTTCCTTGCCCCAAAGAGGTCTCCTAAACTTCGAGCACCAAATCACCTTGTCCCCTCTTCTCGTAGCAATGGTTGATGGGAACATCATGTTCAATCAGCCTGTATAGTCTGGGGCAAATCTCGCACAACCTTCCCACTCCACACCAACCATCCTCCCAGAATTTTATTCTGGATCCATCCCCAACAAAGAAACAGGTCAGATCTCTGAATTCTTGGTTGAACTTCATGATACCTTTCTAGACACTCACCCCAAAAGAAGTTGAGACTTTTCTAGATTCCCACCCAAAGCCAACCACCCCGTACTTTCCAGCCACTACCCTCCTCCGTAGGAAATCATTCTCTTTAAGCCTTCTAATTCCCAATCCCCCGTTCTTCTTGGTTTACAAACCAGGTCCTAGCTCACCAAATGGAATTTCTTAGAACCTCCCACCCCTTCCCACAAGAACTCTCTCTTCCTCTTTTCAATTTTCTTGGCCACCTCAGCTGGAATTTTCAAGGGAGAGATGTAATATGTTGGCAAACTAGACAGGACACTTCTAACCAGAGTAATTCTGCCCCCCCAATGATAAGTACTTGGCCTTCCACATATCTAGCTTCTTCTCCACTGTCTCAATGATTGGCCTCCAAATAGATAAAGCGAAGGGTTTGGCCCCAACTGGCATCCCTAGATACTGAAAATGGAAGCTCTCCAACTTGACATTCAAACACTGCGGCACAGTTCAACAACATTTCTCTCTCCACTTCCTCGACCCCAAGATGATGTTTTTTTCTAGATTCACTTTTAAACCTGTCAGCATCTCAAAGTTAGCCAGAATTGCTCTCAGGATTAGAACTTGGTCAATAGAGGCATCCAGAAAAACTAGCGTGTCATCAACATATTGCAAGTGGGATATACGAGGACGATTAGACCCAACTTTGAAGCCCTCAATAAATCCAAACTGAACTCCTTTGATTAGCAACAAATTAAGAACCTCCATCAGCACAAAGAGTAGAGGGGATAGGGGATCTCCCTGTCTTAAGCTCCTAGAGTCTTGAGAAAAATCTAAAGAAACTGCATTGAATAAGATTGAGAAGGAAACCAAAGACACACAAGCATAACTCCAACTCCTATTTTTCTCCGAAGCCCATCAATCTTTGAATTTTCTCCAAGAAACCCCATTCCACATGATCGTAAGCCTTCTCAATATCAATTTTGCACACCAGCCCGGCCTACCAGACCTGATCCTAAAGTCAATACATTCGCTTGCGACAAGAACATCTAGAAATTGTCTTCCTTCCACGAATGCCATTTGAGACTCTCCCACCACTTTGTGGATCACTCCTTTCAACCTCCTCGATAAAACTTTTGCCACTAATTTATATCGGCTGCCGATTAGACTTATGGGTCTTGTAAAGAAAATGATTGACTAGTTTGTGGTCCCACTTCTTTATTATTTCTTGATGATATATTACTGTTATGTTGCTGTTAGCATGTGTTTTACTGTTGTTACTAGCGACAAGGGTATTCCTGTCCATGTATATCTTTTATTCTATGCCTAATATAAATAGTACCTAGGGCAACAGATCAGAAGAGATTTCTGCACCCTTTTTCTTCTATTCTTTCTTCTTTCTTCTTTGTTCTCTTCTTATCTTCTCTTCCATCTCTGTTCTTTTTTTTCTTCTTTTTCTGATTTCTTCTTGCTAAAACAGGTCTGAACCTCATCGGTTTCAGATAACTGGTCTGAAGTCTTTAATGTCCAAGGCCCCACTCCTTTTAGGGACCAAGGAAATAAAAGAGGCATTTGTTAACTTATCTAGGTACTTAGACTCAAATAGC